GAAGCCCCAATGATCGTCAAAAACTGCTAAATTTCTCTTTTTGTCCATCTTCCCAATCGTCATCATTCTCTACGTCGTCATCATCGTCGTCGTTGTCATCTTTTGAGAATGAGGACTTATCCGATCATTTATTTGACCTAATTAGTGAAAACAACAGCGTATCATGTTCCGAAATTATAAGAAATCTTGCCGCCTGTGGACTCTGGCACAACGATCCCCGCCTAGCTAAATTTTATGTCAGATTGGAAAACAGAAAGAAGACTAGCATACTGCCAACCTTTCATGAATACGATCGTTTAAGTCGAGAAACATTTAAATGGTTGGTTGAAGGAAGTGAAGTTTTGATAAAAAAAGCTCTCTGTGACGAGTTCATAATTCCGGATTTCATTCGTTTTTGCAAAACTTTGAATGAGATCTACAGAGATTGTAGGACAAATTGGGGAGGGTCTTCATCCGCCTGGCCTCACGAAGACAACAAATCTTTGGGGCACCTAAATTTTGCGGGTAGTGGGTCTGATTATTGGGGGGTATCCCTCTGCACTATTGATGGGCAGCGACACAACATGGGTGATGTCGATGTCTTCTTCCCATTGCATTCATGCAGCTGGCCCTTCAATTACTCTTTTGCTATCAAACAGTTGGGGTCTGATGAAGTGCATAGGTGTGTTTGTATGTATGTGTGTGTGTGTGTGTTTGTATGTACATCTGTATGTATGATTGTATCTAGTTTGTATGGGTGTCTGTATGAAGTATGAAGTACATAGGGTGGTTGGTTGGTTGGTTGTATTAGTTTTCTATGTGTTATAATACCTTCACATTATATTATATTAATGCAATTATAATTATTTATTATAGCAACTAAGGCTAAATCACAAAGCATCTATAATTACTATTTATAAGATTTTTTAACCAATCCCAACTAAAAACTTTTTTTTAGATTTGTAGGCAGCGAAACTCCACAAAATTTTCCACCCTCATTAAGCCAACTTTTCCCCTCATCGCCGTCTTCTCTCTCTTCCTTGAATCCTCTCTCCCTTCCCGGATCTCTCCTAATCTCATCTCTTCTGCATAGGAATGTGCAGACGGCGGAAAAACGTTTCACTAAACTGTTGAGTGGGTACGAGAAGTTAGTGAGAGATGATGAGGACGGGAGAGTGAGGTTGAATGAAGAGTTGCACGAGGTTGTTCGAAAGCGATCCCACAATTGGAAATCCGTTGCACACTCTCTGGCCGCCTATAATTGCTTTCCTAGAGGTCAGTTACAGATTAGGGAATTTTTTAAGATGTGCTGGTTTGTGTTGTGATTTTTTGAAAAATACAAACGTTAACATACAAACATACGTACGTACAAACAAACACACATACAAACATACGAACACACAAACATGCATACAAACTTCCATGTGCATAAGGCACATGTGTTGAAGAAACATTGAACATGAGCATGTTGGCCAGTTGCTTGGAGGTTGATGCTCGATCACTGGCATTGATGGCCGCATATTACGCGAATGGCGGACGGTACGTTTTGGTGTATGGTACATTTGTATGTATGTAGGTTTGTTTGTATTTATGTATTCGCGTTTGTATGTATGTACGCTTGTATATATATATATATATATATATATATATATATATATATATAGATGTTGGTATGTATTGTTTTTTTGTTAGTGCATATGCAGGCATGCATGTTTTTATTGTTTTGATTATTTGTATGCATACTTATTCGAATGTATGTATGTTTGTTTGTTTGTATGTATTTCTGTATACAATACAATACAAAACAATACAATACAATACCCAGATGTCCTCTGTCGATGGAAATGCCCACATACATCCGGTCAGCAGTCACACTTCCAAAAATAGAACACCAACAGTTGACAATGACCAGAAACACGTTAACATTTATGCACTCGTCCTCGACGTTTTCTCGCTCCATCCATCTGCCTATTTGTACTTCCCTAACTGGGGCCATGATTTTAGTCGTGAATGGAGTTTTAGGGATGTGCCTGTGGTCCCCACCACTCAATGATGAGGGGTTGAGCTGCCGAGGCATCGAGTTTTGTCGGGAATTTGTTAAAAGGTTTTTGTCAGTAAACTACGTTAATTTCTTAGAATGTCATTATAGTTAGTTAGTTATTATTATTCTTTTAAGATTTAATCTTCAAAATTCGGAGTTCACGGGCTTTGGGGTGAAAGATGACCCGAGGGTAAGAAGGTCATTCAAGAAGGTTGGTCATATGGGGGAGCTGTTGTTTGCTGCTTACAGGTAGGTAGGTTTTTCCTATAGTACCGGGTGTTTGATATGTGTTTAGTACATTCTCTACTGCATTTTATCGCTCGTTAGGTGTATTTCTGTCGGTCAAACTAACTTATCAATCAATCAATTGATCAATCAACCAGCTAACCAAACAACCAACCAACCAACTAAACAACCAATCAAACAACCCACCAACCAACCATCCAATCAATGAAACTTAGGGGTGATCTTTCCTCCCTACGTAACATGCACAAGAGTGGCCTGAACATGAACGCCAGAGACTACGACGGGAGGACCGCCCTGCACGTCGCCTGCTCTGAAGGAAATCTCGATTGCGTTAGGTCACTATTTGGGCCTAACTCATTAACATAATTTATTATTATAATAATTTTCCATCAATTATTCATATATTTTGCATGCTTTTTGGTCTTTCTCTCTTTCATTCAAGTTGTATGTTGAACATGTCGAGCCTGTTTTTGATGAAGATAATGCTGGAATTGAAACGAACAAACGAAATTATGAATCGGCGAACGAACGAATGAACGATTAGACGAACAAATGATTAAATTATGTTAATTAATCAACCAAACATACTCAGGTACCTGATAGACGAATGTAAAGTGGACATGGAAGCTGTGGACAGGTGGAACCACAAGCCGCTACATGAGGCCACTCGGCTCCAGCGTCGCGATATACAAGATTACCTTGTTAATAAGATTAATAGTAGAATTAGTAGTGGCGGGGATGATTTAATTTTTGAATGAATGAATTAATTAATTAATGAATTAATGAATGAATTAATGAATGAATGATTGAATAATTGATCGATTGACTAGGCAAACAGAAAGAGTTAAACTTCTATTGAATAATACTTAACCGCAGATTAAAGAATTATTATCGAGATATTTGACGATTTTTGTAATCATTACTAACATTTTTTGTCATTGTTCTTCATCTTCTTTTTCATCTTCTTTTTCTTTTTCATCTTCTTTTTCATCTTCTTTTTCTTCTTCTTCCTCTTATTGTTAACATTAACATTATTTTCAAGCATCTAATCGTATATTTCATTTAACATTGAAGGAAAAAAAATTAAAAATCGAATGGACTTGACTTTATTTAATTCACGAACACACACTAACATACCTACACGCACACACACACACACACACACACACACACACACACACACACACACACACACACACACACATATATATATATATATATATATATATATATAAACATACACACATAAGAACAAACATAAGCATACACATATACAAACAAGCATAAACATACCCACACACAAACAAACAAGCATAAACATACACATACAAACATAAACACACACACACACACAAACATACACATACAAACATAAACACACACACACACACACAAACATACACACACACATACAAGCAAACACACAAGCTTAAATTCATTCGACCTTGTAAGGCAACTAAGCTGCTTTTGGTTCATGTATATATATTGATATATATATATATATATATATTTATATATATAGTATAAGAGAGAGAGAGAGAGAGAAAAAGAGTTAGAGAGAGAAAGAGAGAGGAAGAGAGAGAGAGACGAAGAATCAAATGATCGCCTATATTTATTTATTATTTTCATTAAACATATTTTTAAACGATTTTTCATATTCATTGTCAGCTTGGGTTTTATTGTAAAATATATAGCATACAGTACACACAGGCGCACACACACAAACACACACACATATATATATATATATATATATATATATATATATAATAGAATTTGGCTGGTAGTAGTAGTTTAAAGTTTAAAGGAGACCAGTTGCTATATACGTATATAGATATATTTTTTTCTTCAAATTATGATTGTAAATATTAAAATGTTAATAATAATAAATACGAATAGTAATAATTATTATAAATATTAGTAAATTGTAAATATTAATTATAATTAATTGTAAATAGTAATTATAAATATTATATATAAATATTTCACCAATTTATTTATTGTATTTTTCGGCAATGGCAATATTATGAATAAATATGTGTATATTTATGTGTGTGTGTGTGATTTTTTGTGGATTTTCTTTAAAAATAAGTCGAAGATTTTTTTGTTCTAATATAATATAAGAAGGATAATAACGCCAAAAAAGGCCATTAATAACTTGTCGCAAACTCATCAGCAGCCACAACCGCAGCCACAGCAGCTACAACCGCAGCCACAACAGCCACAGCTACAGAAGAAGAAGAACAGCAACAAACAAGAACACCAACATCACATAGGAAACAAATCAACAAAGGCGTTATTATTATTACTATTATTATTGCAAGTCGGGATTAACAACAACAACATCAACAACAGATACAACAACAATAATAACAACAACGACATCAACAACAACAGCGCAACATCATCATCAACAACAACGTCCGTAAACAACAACAACAACAAATGACATCAAAATCAAACAACAACAACAACAATAACAACAACAACATCGACAACGACGATGACGAATTAGTAGGCAAAAGGTTTACCTGCATCTTAAAGTCCTCGCAGTCGAAACTCGATCAGGCCCTTAGTGACGTCATCAGAAACCGGAAAAGGAACCGGAAATGTAACAACAATAACGACGACAACAACAACAACAATAGCCGCAAAAACAACAATAACCACGCAGAACGAAATTACAACAACAACAACAACAACGTTAACAATGATGATGACGACGACGACGATA